CTGGGAGCCTTAGGCACACTAACCCAACGAGACATAATATTAAATTGATCATTCATGGGTTAAGGGGGAGGAACGAGACTGTGGTAAGGAAAATGAAAGTGCCACTGACTTTGAAAGGCAGCAATATGATCTATAATGAATAAATGTGAGTGGGCCAAGGGAAATGGCCCTGTCCTTCAAATGACAATATCTACAACTCTACATTGCATTTCTAGGATGAGGTTTGCAAAAACCCCTCAGCCCTTGCCTGACTGCTTCTGCTAAAACCAATGGCAAAATCCCTGTTCATTTACGTGGGGGAAGAGTCGAATCATCTCTGAATACTTTAAAATGCCCCACATAGTTTGAATGCCTATGGGTCTTTAACACCTTTACTTGCTGTGACTTTGTGTAAGTCGCTGTCCTGAGAATGGGGCTACATTTCAAAGTGAGGAACCTGATCCTGTCTAGAGCAATTCATTTGTTTGCATGTTTCTGAAAAATTGACTTGGTGCTTCCAGGTGAGGTGATGGTTGTTGCCAGGGAACGAGAGCCCTTTCAGCCCAGGCTGGAGATGAACAGCCTGTCATGTCAATGCTGAATGCCAGTACTCCCTTCCACCCTGCTGCCTTCCTCCTGGTTGGGATCCCAGGCCTGGAGGCCACCCAGTTCTGGATCGCCTTCCCTTTCTGCATCATGTATGTCATTGCCATGGTGGGAAATGTCATTGTCTCCTTCATTATAAAGACTGAGCCGAGCTTGCATGAGCCCATGTACCTTTTCCTGGCCATGCTGGCCATCACCGACCTGGTTCTGTCCACTTCCACCGTACCCAAAATGCTGGGCATCTTCTGGCTGGGCTCCAGGGAGATTGGTTTCCATGCCTGCCTCGCTCAGATGTTCTTTATTCACACCTTCTCATCGGTGGAGTCGGGCGTTCTCATGGCCATGGCGCTGGACCGCTACATTGCTATCCGCTACCCACCCCGGCACTCCAGCATCCTCTCCATCCCCATGACCAAGAAAATAGGCAGCCTCGTGCTGACACGTGGGGTCCTCTTGATAAGCCCCTTCTGCATCCTCGCCAGCCGGCTTCCCTTCTGCAGGCATCGCCTCATCTCCCACTCCTATTGCGAGCACATGGCTGTGGTGAAGCTGGTGTGTGGAGATGCCAGAGCCAACGTTGTGTATGGCCTATTTGTGGCTTTCATGGTGGCGGGCTTTGATGTGCTCATGATCTCTGTGTCCTATGCCATGATCCTGCGGACGGTCATGAGGCTCCCATCCACCGAGGCCCGTCTCAAAGCCGTCAGCACCTGCACTTCCCACAT